TACTGTGTCTATCACCCATGTGCCTCAATGTCTACCATTATTTGTTTGTTTATTTGTATGTTCTTACACCTTTTGATTTTTTTTGGATATTCATAATATTATATGATCAAATTGGATATGATCTCATTAAGCAATTCAGACCCCTCCACCTCCACCATTTTCAGTTAATCAATGAGCGGTTCTACATTGGACCAATCACCTAATTAAATGAAATATTCCTGCTGGTTATTTTGTCTGTAAATATTCTTTGTTTATGCAAAGTCTGTTCTATAAACTACTTTCAAGCCCACTAGAGCTTTTGGTGCCCACTTAAGTTCTTATCATCCTTGCTCCTCTACATTGCAATATTTAACAGAAAGTCCTCTTGTACTATGAAGCCATACGCCACCCTGGCATTAATCCACACCTGAGATGACCAAAAACATAAGGGAAACTTGGGTTACTGTTTTATTAAAAAAAACAAGTCCTGTGCTCAAACTCCCATTACTCCTGGGCGGCAGCAATGACCATAGTACACATCAGCCCAAATACATATGGTAAAAAACAAAGAAAAAAAAACCTGCGCTCTTTCCCAAATCCCTATGTATATTTAAACAAATGGAGGTTTTTAGTTACCTCCAATGGCCATGAGAGGGTATGCCTACCATGTCAAGGCAGGTCCTAACTCTAACCATTCACCTTCCTTACTTGAGCTTCTGGAAAAGATATCTCTAATGAGACATACCCCTTGTATTTTTTATATACATCCCTACATGCTTATTAACCTTTAATAGGGAACACATGGGATGGGCAGCAGCATTGTAACCTAGCTGTGTGTATTTGTATTCACTTTTGTATCACACAGCTAGGTTACAATGCTGCTGCCTTGATGTGACAGGTGGGCATACCCTCGCATGGCCATTGGAGGTAACTAAAAACCTAAATTTGCTTAAATATACATAGGGATTTGGGAAAGAGTGCAGGTAATTTTTTTTCTTTGTTTGTTACTGTTTTATTACCAACAGCTGTACTTGACATGGCAGCCAAAAAAAAAAGATCAGAAAGATGTATTCAGTGGTACCCTCTAAACCTATACAATTTTTGTGTTTAAGAACATTAATACATTAATTCACTATTCTATAATAGAGGGCAAATTATTTAGTCTGGGGTGTAATTTGTTATTTTGAATTACCAGTTGCCAACATGAATCAGAAAAAAAAATAGAATTTAAAATGAACTGTTATTTTAACGAACAGAAATTAATTAATACAAATAGGTGACATTTTGGACAAGTGCTCTCAGCAGAGATGAAAAAAAAAGCACAATGAGATTTATTAGTCCTTGATGAGATCTAATGGAGTGTGGTAAGTCAAATGCAAATCAGGAAATATTTGTTCATGGAAATAGAAAGGAATGTAAATGCCTCCGAGAAGCAAGCTAACGCAGAACGTACATATTGTAACAGGGATTAAAACGACATTCAGTATTATTTAAGCATATTGCAGTTGTTCCTTTATAATATGGCATTATATACAGCTTTAAGGTGATTGACAAGATAGAGTGCAGCCCTATAAATGGAATCCCCATCAGAATCCAAATGTGGAGGAAAGGGTCTGGGAATGGGGTTCATTTTCATTGAGGGTGAGTGCTGATATCGGTCTCACCAATGTTTAGCTTTCTCTTTCGTTACTGCCTCAGGCTTCAAAGTAGACAGATGTTACAGGTAGTTCACTAAGTAAAGATAGGATTGCAGGGAGAGTTCATAGACCCACAAGACAGTCATTCCATAACGTTACATTTTTAAATTTGTAAGTGGAATGAAGATTAAGCCATTCTAAACATGCCATAGGTCAATCTTCCTTGTTCTGACTTGATATGATAAGGAAAGGATTTTCTCATTGTTTATGTATGTTTGAGAGTGCATGATATGTTTGCCTGTCCATCTTTGAGATTATTACATTGTGTTTGGATTCTGGCTGTTTTGTGTTTGTGTATGCGTAAGAGTGTCTGTGAGTATGAAAGGGAGTAATTGTGTCTGAGAATTTTTTTTTTGAAAACGTGAGTGTCTTTGTGAACGGCTGTAGTAGTGTTTGTGTGTCTGTGAGTGCTTTCATATTTCTGTTACATTACAACAGGCACACTTAGATGTATGTTAAAATTATTGTGTCTTTGAAAGTCACTTTTGTTTTGAATATTTTTATTTTTAAGCACATTAGGAATTTAGGCATCAAACTGATTTATAACAAGGCAATTGATTGCCCACGCAGGGGCTGCAACATTAATATAACACAGTATTCCTTCGGTTGCCTGCGCAAAGCGGGTTTGTTTTAAATGCTTCTTTTGTAATTGGCATTGCAGATACAAGCAGGTAGTCATTCATGTTTCATGGGAAGCTCATGGTTGCCTGCGCAGAGGCGTTACAGATAAAACGTGCAGGTACATTAGGAACTAGGGTTTGACACAGATACTAGCTCTAGGAATCCACATGACTTCGTTCAGGTTGTGGGCTTAGATTATTTTTACATTTGTCTTGTTGTTTGTCATCTAGTTGTGTGTT